TCAGGGGTTAGGGTTAGGGTTAGAGTTAGGGTTAGGTCTAGGGTTAGGGTTTGGGGAATTTTGGATTTTTGGGATGAAATGTTGGTAATTTTGGGCATTTTAGCTGGAATTTCGGGTATTTTAAGTGGAATTTGTGGGATTTTGGGTCAGGGTTGAGTTCGGGCTAGGGTTAGGGTTAGGGTTAGTGTTTGGGGAATTTTTGGGGAATTTGGAGTGGAATTTTTAAAAATTTTTGGAAATTTTGGAGGAATTTGGGTTTTTTGGGGTGCAATTTGGGGGTTTTGGGTGGAATTTGGGGGATTTTGGGTCAGGGTTTTGTCAGGGTTTGGTTGGGTTTATGGTTAGGTTTCGGTAAGGTCTAGGGTAAGGATTTGGTGAATTTTGGGGGCATTTGTGATTGTTGGGAGGGAATTTTGGGGATTTTTGGTGATTTTGGCTTGAATTTGGGGGTTTTGGATTGAATTTGGAGCATTTTGGGTCAGGGTGTAGTTAGGCCTAGGGTTAGGGTTAGGGTTGCGCTTAGGGTTAGGGTTAGGGTTAGGGTTAGGGTTAGGGTTAGGGTTAGGGTTAGGGTTAGGTCTATGGTTAGGGTTTTTGGGAATTTTGGGGGAATTTTGGATTTTTGGGATGGAATGTTATGAATTTTGGGCATTTTAGCTGGAGTTTGGGGTATTTTGGGTGGAATTTGGGGGATTTTGGGTCAGGGTTGGATATAGGTTAGGGTTAGGTTTAGGGTTTGGGTGAGGCCTAGGGTTAGGGTTAGGGGTCGGGGAATTTTGGGGGAATTTGGGGTGAAATTTGGAAAATTTTTGGAATATTTGGAGGAATTCGGGTTTTTTGGAGTGGAATTTGAGAATTTTGGGTGGAATTTGGGGCATTTTGGATCAGGGTTTAGTCAGGGTTGGGTTAGGGTTAGGGTTAGTGTTAGGGTATGGTCTAGGGTTACGATTACGTAAATTTTGGGGGCATTTGTGGTTTTTGGGAGGGAATTTTGGGGATTTTTGGTGATTTTGGCTGGAATTTGGGGGTTTTGGGTTGAATTTGGAGGATTTTGGGTCAGGGTGTAGTTAGGCCTAGGGTTAGGGTTAGAGTTGCGCTTAGGGTTAGGGTTAGGGTTAGGTCTAGGGTTAGGTCTAGGGTTAGGGTTTTGGGGAATTTTGGGAGAATTTTGGGGGAATTTTGGGGGAATTTTGGATTTTTGGGATGGAATGTTATGAATTTTGGGCATTTTAGCTGGAGTTGGCGGTATTTTGGGTGGAATTTGGTGGATTATGGGTCAGAGTTGGATATGGGTTAGGGTTAGGGTTAGGGTATGGACTAGGGTTAGGATTAGGGAAATTTTGGGGGCATTTGTGATTTTTGGGAGGGAATTTTGGGGATTTTTGGTGATTTTGGCTGGAATTTGGGGGTTTTGGATTGAATTTGGAGCATTTTGGGTCAGGGTGTAGTTAGGCCTAGGGTTAGCGTTAGGGTTGCGCGTAGGGTTAGGGTTAGGGTTAGGGTTAGGGTTAGGGTTAGGGTTAGGGTTAGGGTTAGGTCTAGGGTTAGGTCTAGGGTTAGGACTGGGGGAATTTTGGGGGAATCTGGGCTTTTTGAGTTTGAGTTTTTGGACTTTTATGGATTTTCACTTGATTTTGGAGTATTTTGAGTGGAATTTGGGATGTTTTATGTTAGGGTTTTTAGGGTTAGTCCTACGTTAGGGTTAGGGAAATTTTGGGGGAATTTCTTTTTTTTGGGAGGGAATTTGGGCGATTTTGGTGATTTTTACTGGAATTTGTTGTATTTTGGGTAGAATTTGGGGGTTTTTTCCTGGAATTTGATTGGTTTTGGGTGAAATTTTGGCGTTTTTTGGTCAGGGTTGAGTTCGGGTTAGCGTTAGGGTTAGGGTTAGGGTTCGGAGAATTTGGGGGGAATTTTGTATTTTTTGGTGGAATTCTGGGAATTTTGGGGATTTTGGGTGCAATTTTAGGGATTTTGGTCAGGTTGTAGTTAGGCTTAGGGTTAGGGTTAGGGTTCGGGTTAGGGTAGGATTAGGGTCCCCACCTGCATCCAGGTAAGGAGGTGACACTCAGGGTGGCACAGGAGATGGCACAGGGGGATTTGGGGTCTCAGGGATGTCCCCCCTGTGCCCAGGTAAGGAGGTGGCACAGGGGGTGGCACTCAGGGTGGCACAGGGGGATTTGGGGTCTCAGGCGTGTCCCCACCTGTGCCCAGGTAAGGAGGTGGCACAGGAGGTGGCACTCAGGGTGGCACAGGGGGATTTGGGGTCTCAGGGATGTCCCCACCTGTGCCCAGGTAAGGAGGTGACACTCAGGGTGGCACAGGAGTTGGCACAGGCAGATTTGGGGTCTCAGGGGTGTCCCCCCTGTGCCCAGGTAAGGAGGTTGCACAGGGGGTGGCACAGGGGGATTTGGGGTCTCAGGGGTGTCCCCCCCTGTGCCCAGGTAAGGAGGTGGCACAGGAGGATTTGGGGTCTCAGGGGTGTCCCCCCTGTGCCC